TTTACTCAAGTGCTTGATTTGTGTACTTTGTCCACTACTAGTGAAAAATGTCATAATATTGAAAATCTAATTTGGGGGGGGGGGGGGGGGGGGGGTGATGATTTACACCGTTAAAGAGTTGGATTTTTATGCTAAACATGACCAAAGTCTCAAAAGACGATTTGGACGCATGACAAAGTATTTCTGTACCAAATACACTTCTTCTGGGTTCATATAAGTTTCGGAAAGTTTTTTTTGAGCATGGCTCTTCATGACGTAATAAAGGTCGGAATTCCTTGTATGGCCACTTCTCCTGGAAGCGCGTGTGCACACAGCAAACAGAGTGAGAACAAGAGCAGCATATCGACGTGCTTCATTCAGGTTACGGAAGTCGTCGGCAGTGCTGCACAAGACTTGCTTGAGAAGAATGTCTCCAAAGAAGTGTGTTTTTGGATGTGAGGGAAATATATCTTTGTTCAGCTTCCCAAAGAACCCAGCGTTATGTGAACAGTGGATGGAGTTTGCTTTTCCAGGGCAGCAACGGAGTTTCGCAAGTGTGTTTGCTTGTTCCCGTCATTTCGGTGATGAATGTTTTATAAACAAGGCTCAGTTCAACGCTAGATTTGCACATAGTTTGATACTGAAAGATGGAGCTGTCCCAGCGATAAAATATCCTGGTCATGAGCTAGAACTTCAGGCGGTATGTAAAACTGCATCAAATTTCAGTGTTTTGTTGGCAATCGGTGCATCAGTGCTCCACCCACGTCACACCTCCAGGAGCTCAGCTGTTTTTGGAGAGAAGCGTAAAGCTGTATCTTTCTTTTATAAATATGATGAAACTAAAGACTCTTCAGCGATATTAAGGATGCAATACTACTATATAGATACTCAAGATTAATATGTGACCCTGGACCACAAAACCCGTCATAAGGGTAAATTTTTTGAAATTGAGATTTATACATCATATGAAAGCTGAATAAATAAGCTTTGATATGATAGGACAATATCTGGCCGAGATACAACTATTTGAATATCTGGAATCTGATGGTGCAAAAAAATCACAATACTGAGAAAATTGCCTTTAAAGCTGTTCAAATGAAGTTCTTAGCAATGCATATTAATAATCAAATTAAGTTTTGATATATTTACAGTAGGAAATTTACAAAATATCTTGTAAAACTGCATCAAATTTCAGTGTTTTGTTGGCAATCGGTGCATCAGTGCTCCACCCACGTCACACCTCCAGGAGCTCAGCTGTTTTTGGAGAGAAGCGTAAAGCTGTATCTTTCTTTTATAAATATGATGAAACTAAAGACTCTTCAGCGATATTAAGGATGCAATACTACTATATAGATACTCAAGATTAATATGTGACCCTGGACCACAAAACCCGTCATAAGGGTAAATTTTTTGAAATTGAGATTTATACATCATATGAAAGCTGAATAAATAAGCTTTGATATGATAGGACAATATCTGGCCGAGATACAACTATTTGAATATCTGGAATCTGATGGTGCAAAAAAATCACAATACTGAGAAAATTGCCTTTAAAGCTGTTCAAATGAAGTTCTTAGCAATGCATATTAATAATCAAATTAAGTTTTGATATATTTACAGTAGGAAATTTACAAAATATCTTCATGGAACATGATCTTTACTTAATATCCTAATGATTTTTTGAATAAAAAAAAAAATCCATCATTTTGACCCATACAATGGTTTTTTGGCTGTTGCTAAAAATATACCCAAGCGACTTAAGGCTGGTTTTGTGGTCCAGGGTCACATATGAGATTGGATGAAAGTGTGTTATGTCCCCCTTAAATCTGCAAATAAACAAGGTTTTAGGATTTTGAACAATATATAAAAATCAAGTTGATGCAAAATAATAAATATTTCAGATGTCATTAAAGGGGCACAAACCAAATACGAAGTAATTCTGAAAATCATGCTAAATTTTCACAGATTTCTTCATACCAATAACTTCATTCTCGCGATGCACAAACGGCTATATAAATGACATCAGACCTGCATCAGGATCTCATCAAAGGCTACGCTGAACATTTACAGAAAACCTCAATTGTATTTTTTTTTGTACATTGTGAATAGGACTGAGCAGAACTATCTGTTAGACGCTGACCCTCGTACAAGAGAGGCTGAGTCATGCCAGCAAGCCTTAATCCATTCCAGTCCTGAAAACAGAGCTGTATTCACAGCAACCATCAAGCCATTAAGATTTGAAGGCCATGGCAGTAACTCGAAGGCTCTTTCATGGCCGTTGTTCGCTCTGCTCTTCTTTGGATACAAGCCGCTGGGTGCTGGAAGCTGCACGCAATACCAATCAGGAAATGGCTGAATGAAATTACGCTCCACCACGCTTACAACGTGTGTGTGTGTGTGTGTGTGTTGGGGGGAGGTTTGAGTTGGCAGCCTTGGGCTAGGCAAGCTGATGACACCCGTCCCTGCCCTTGGCCATGGCACGGTTAGTCTGCCAGTGCCCATGGGCAGGAGGAGGAGGATCTAGTCTTTTACCCCCTCACCCCTCGATCCACTAACATTCATTATTATTTCATACTGAAGCCGTGTTTTGTAGTGTAAGAGTTTCATGTACACACGCCTGTCCTTTTTATTCCATAAGAAAGCACATTTACTTGAACACCAACATTTGGTTGGAATCTTTTCCTTTATGTATGTTTTATTAAATAGTTTTCTATATTCAATAAGAATGACCATTTGATAATGACCGACTTTGTGAACCCGTCTCATAAGACCAAACTATGTAAATTCTAGGCATCTTATGTATACAGGTACTAAAATCCATCTAAAAAATTTTATCTAATAATATTTAATAATAATTTAACTCTTTCCCTTGGTATTTAAAGGGCTAGCTCTCCCAAAAATGAAAACATTTTCTCACCCTCCAAACCTGCACTGAGAAGATATTTTGAAGAATGTAGGTAACCAAACAGTTGCTGGTCTCCACTGACTTCCATAGTATGGAAAAATGGTAGTCAAAAACTGCTTATTTGCCAACTCTCTTCAAAATATCTTCTTTTGTGAAGCAGAAGAAAAAAATCATACAGATTTGGAACAACGTGAGGAAACGACAGAATTTTCATTTTGGGTTAAATATCCCTATAAATAATGATTTTCCATGTCTTTTCCAAGTCATTTTCCAGCAATTAATGGACAAGGATTAAAAAAAGGATTAAAAAATAAATATATAATCAGAATTTTAAAAAAGGACAATTTAAGCCCATTAAAAATTAATAGTTGAGAATTTTGTGACCCTGGACCACTTAAGTGTCAATTTTTCCAAATTGATATTTATACATCTGAAAGCTGAATAAATAAGCTTTCCATTAATGTATGGTTTGTTAGGATAGGAAAATCTGGAATCTGAAGGTGCAAAAAAAATCTAAATATTGAGAAAATCGCCTTTAAAATTGTCCAAATGAAGTTCTTCGCAATACATACTACTAATAAAAAATTAAGTTCTGATATATTTACAGTAGGAAATTTACAAAATATCTTCATGGAACATGATCTTTACTTAATATCCTAATGATTTTTGGCATAAATAAAAATCTATAATTTTTTTGGCTATTGCTACAAATATACCCCAGCGACTTGAGACTGGTTTTGTGGTCCAGGGTCACACACAAACACATATACATCCACAGGATCGTCTGTGAATAAGATGCCAAATTGCAGGGATCAGTCCTCAGGTTGAGTGCGTGTGTGTGTATATATGTGTGTGTGCACCTCCATGTCTTAAGAGGGATCTCAACGGCTGTCTGTATCCCAGACACATCACAATTCTAATTTCATGAAAAAAAAAAAAAGCTTATTTTCCTGACCTCTTTTCATGCATTGGTATAGGACCAATCTCAGTCAGCAAGAAGAGAGAGCGAAAAAAAAAAAACCTTCTCACCGGGACCAAACAATCCCAATCTAATTTACTTTTTGAGGCCAGAATATCTACATGAGTTAATAGGGGAGCAGAATCAAATTAACTATAATTAGTGAAAACGGAGAAGCAAGCGATTGAGTGAGAGTGACAGTAAGGCATGTGGGAAAGCAGGAGCCCGTCTCATTTTGTCTCTCCTCTAGTCCCTCCCCGTCGTCAAGCCATCCCGCGCTTACTGCATTGACACAAGTCGCGCTCGCTTCAAAGCTCGCAAACATCGATTGCATGTGGCACGCAAACAGCCAGGCACGCCAAAACATTTCTGTTCTGACAGATTTCCCCCGTGAAAAACCAGCATGTGAATTTCACAAGAGCCGCAGACCTGACTTGTCGAATCTCTTCAGGAGGATGCTAACAGCGTCATCCACGCCGATGGGTTATTCCTGTAGATGGATTGTTTTTATAGAGGAAAGAACATAAAAAAGCTTGAACCCTGAATGGCAGAAGACGATACTACGTGTGTGTGTGTGTGTGTGTGTGGTAGATCTCGACTATTAAGCCACAGGAGAGGCCTGGATTTAAAAGATTTCTACAAAGCACTGGTTTGTTTACACGTGTAATGCCGCTGTAATGTGACTTACTGCTGCTTGCACTCATCAGTTTGTTTATACTGACATCACACATGGAAACAAACTGTTTTCTCCTTATTTATTGCAGTAAGAGAGACACTTTCATATGACTCGATAAATTCAGCATCATTCTCAAAGGAATCGGAATCTGAAATTTTTTTGAAGAAATACAGTATAATGTGGTATTCAATACGAGTCAGGCACTCATAGAAGGGCGCGTTTGATTGTGACTGGATAAGAGACTCGTGAGAGACTGAACCAGGAGGAACAAGTGAACTCATCACTTTTTTGAAATTCAAAGTTGCCGTTGAAGGGTTTATGTTTATGCGAAATGTGTGCATGCACTCTCATGGTTTCAGCCCTCTTATATGAAGATCTGTATTCACAGTATGTATCTTGAAAGTGTATGTATATGTGTTTGTATGCATTGTTTTGTGAAGGTCTGATCTCAGACTGCATATATGTGTACATCAGGCACTCACCGCCGCGCTGCAGCAGCATCTTGGCGATGTGCATGTGTTGGTTCAGCAGGGCGTCGTGTAGTGGACTGACTCCCTGGACCTGACTGCCCAGCTGTAGGTTCGGGCAGTGCTGGAGCAGGGCCTGCACACACTCCATGCTGCCATGGTTACAGGCTTCATGAAGGGGCGTCCAGCCAGCGTGATCTGCAAACAGTGGCACAATACACTGTGATGACTTTGGTGCCTACATACATTGACAAGGTCAAGCTTAGCTGCTTGACAAATGTGGAATTTAAAAAAGAAAGAAAGAAAGAAAGAAAGAAAAGCAAAAACATTTGTGTAATTTGCACTTGAATAATATGTACTTTTAATTCTTGCCATAAAATTGTATATTAACAATTAAAATTCAATGTCACAGAATGTCATAACTAAATACGTCATCATAAGTTACTGTTTGTCTTCGTAGTGTTTTTCTGACAATATTCACTTTTACATTGTTACATTACTGGGAAGTAAATTATTAAACAAGGGGATTTTTATGTCCAGTATATTATTAAATATAGAATGTTTTTGTTGAATAGAGTTAGAATAATAAAAATAAACAAAACATCAACTATTTGAAATTTTTTAGCAAAGAGGCCTCTTTCATAAACATTTCTGTACATCATACCATAACTGTTCAAACAAACAGACTCTAAAATCCAATTTCATGCTAGCAGTTTTCAAATAAATCTTAAGACTCCTAATGCAGTCTTTTGGTGTGAAAACCCCCCAATAAAAATAGACCGAGGTACAAAGAGGCCTCAATCGCAAAGATTTCTGTACATCATAACATAACGGCACAAACATACTGATTCTAAAATGCAACTGTTTGCTAGTAATTCTCAAACAAATCCCATTTTAAGATTCTCGCTGTAGTCTTTTTGAGTGAAAGAAAACAACAAACAGTGTAACACTGTAAAAAAAAACATTAGCAAAGAGGCCTCAATCGTAAACATTTCTGTATGTCAACATAATTGCGCAAACATGCTCATTCTAAAATGAATTTTCAAAGAAATCCCTTTTTGAGTAAAAGAAATCTAACAAAACAAATAACGCAACATTATATAAAACAACAAAGGCGGAATTTTCATCAAGCTATACGGCTAAAATAACCATGATTATATCAAGATTTCAAAACAAGATTGGAAAGCGAAAGGCATGTGTAAAATTTGCATGACACCACGATATTAAACCGAGCCTAAAACATTGTCTGAACCTACCAGACACACCCTTACATTTGATCTAAAAGGTTAGACGGGTGACGTACGCTTTCCTTTGTTTGAATTAACTGTTCAGTACACAAAAAAGTAAAACAGAAGAAATGGGACGATTCTATTGAGGGCAGGGGAGGAATATAGAAACCTACCTTTAATGTTGACGTCTGTTCCAGGCACGCTGAGGATACGAAGTAACCTCTCCACCTGGTTCTTCTTGCAGGCTAGATGAAGGAGTGTCTCGCCTACACATGGTTGGAGAAGAGAGAAAGGGAGAGAGAGAGAGTGAAAGAAAGGGCAAGTGAAAGAGGGAAGTGGGCAACATCCAAAATTCAGGGTGCGTCCTGCCAGCTGCCCTCACAGTCCCGTAACCGCTTATTTAACGTTTCCCGTGCTCGACATAAAAACGGGCACACACCGAAAAGACATGGAGAATGGAAAAATTAAACAGATAATAGAAAAAAAAGCTAGACATTTTTTGGGGGAAGAGGAACAGGAAGCAGAGAGAGAGAGAGAGAGAGAGAGAGAGAGAGTGCAGGCTAGATGAAGGAGTGTCTCGCCTACACATGGTTGGAGAAGAGAGAAAGGGAGAGAGAGAGAGTGAAAGAAAGGGCAAGTGAAAGAGGGAAGTGGGCAACATCCAAAATTCAGGGTGCGTCCTGCCAGCTGCCCTCACAGTCCCGTAACCGCTTATTTAACGTTTCCCGTGCTCGACATAAAAACGGGCACACACCGAAAAGACATGGAGAATGGAAAAATTAAACCGATAATAGAAAAAAAAGCTAGACATTTTTTGGGGGAAGAGGAACAGGAAGCAGAGAGAGAGAGAGAGAGAGAGAGAGAGAAGAAAGGCGCTCATCCGCTCTCTTTGTCGTGATTCCCTTTTTTTCTGGACAGTGGGAATTCTTTACTTACACTAGCACCCCAAGTTGAAGGCGATTGTGGAAAAAGGCTTCCTGGCAGTCCGGTATTGTTCAGCCGGGGAAAGTTATGGTACAGAGCCCATACACAAAGCCTCTGATGGGATTTTTCAAACAGCCAGAGTTCAAAAGCTCCACTGGGCAGTACGAATGGGAACACGTGATTCTCACTTTTGCAAACTACAACAGCCAGACACAAAAGCCTCCAGGGACTTTTATTTACATTTTCCTTCTGCCTGCTCCCTTTGTAAGGCAGCCTTCATCCCTCGCTCTCCCGATATGATATCAAATCGGGAATATATTAGAGGGTGGGCTGTTTCCTCCTTTCATGTGTGGCTGAACTTCACAAGAAAGTAAAAGGCCAAACTTGAGTGCCTCTGTGGCTGCCATTATAATGCCGCTGTGCAAAGCTGCTAATAAATGCTTTGCTGGGTCTCACCAGGGTGCCCATTTCTCTGCAGCCTTGGCCGGCTAGATAAAACCCGGCATGCTGAAAGAGCCAAAGCGGAGAGAGGCAGCGGGGATGAGGAGGGGGAAATAAAGCAGAAAGTCTTCTTTCTTCTTGTGGCAGGGAAAAAGGGAGAAGCGGCATCCTCTTTCACATCAATACGTTGGTTGAGTTTTCAAGAAGCCTCTTTAAGCCAGATCAAACAGAGAAAATTAGGTTAGAAGAAAACGTAAATGACCAGAGAAGGCTGATCTGTCTACGACTTTGTGTACGTCTGTCACGGTACAAAGAAAAAAGATGCGAAAGTAATGGAATCACGGTTTAGACACTGGAGACTTTTTATACCCATTTTGGACTGATGGACTCCAAAAATTCTTTTTTTTTTCTCTTCAAGAATCCTGTTGTTTTAACAAGTGACAACATTGTATTCATAGTGTAATATACGTCTTGGACAACATCAAAGGATTACTGTGCTAAAACAAAGGCTTTAAACTTTGCTGGCTGCATGCTGCTTAAAAAGAAACTAACCGTCTGACTGAAATAAATAGATATATGCATAAATACACTTCACAAAAGCTTTTCAGTATGCCTGATATCAACATGTAGTGACACAGCTCATGTGCACATCAGAAGTTCATTTGAAACATGGTTCTCAACTAATAAATGAGACCTCTTAACTTACTAAAATATCACTTAAGAATTAAATTCAAGTATGTTTAGGAATAACAGCGTGCTATTTCTGTCTTTTTTTTTCACCATGAGCTAACAGTACATAGTGACACAGATGTCTGAAGTCACAAAACCAGAGACCCTCTGCTAAAAATCTGATCACAAGTGGTTAAAGAAAACACATCAGAGACCCACAGTGTTGGGAGACCATGAGTCGTCGGATCACCAGAGATGGATATTAGTATCAGGTGTAAACCGGTTCTGACAACATTTGAATGAAACGTTCCAGACTACATACCACATATCTATAATAAATAATTAGCTGGGTATTATGAAAAAATGAAACAGAATGCAATAAAAGTATGACTTAATGAGTGCCTCAGCACCATGACAAGTTTTGGCTTGCACTGGCCCTTTTTTCACACCCTAATAGGCCCTAAAACCCAGTGATTAAACATTTTTTAACTCCCCATGTGTACACAGTCTCAGAAATGCCAGGCCCAATCTTCCCTCTGTTAAAGCACTTTAATGGCTCCAATTTGGACACAACGCTTCCATTATAGGGGTAATTGCATACTCAGCATTTACAAGCTCAAAGAGGATAAATCCATCCTGTCCTTTTCTATAAATTGTGAAGTGTGTGTAGCGTTTGCGGTTGTCGTTTTATTTTATTTTTCTTGAAGAGAGTACTTTCTTGCGTGTTTTGTGCCATGACAGCTCTGGAGCAGCTTTGCTAATGGTTTAAATAATGGGCGATTTGTCACAAAAAGTGCATTTAAACACTGTGATGACAGGATGCATTTTCAATTTGACCACCTTTAGGTTTAAGCAACATCCTGTAGTTCTAGGAGTTATTAGAGGTTTAGTTTATGGGATTGTGGACAAGAAGTGAAAGAGGCCAATAATAACTGGGTCAATGTTATTTATTTTACGTTTAAACACCACTTGCACATGCTTTTCTGTGTGCATTTTGATGCATGTTTTATTTATCACTGCCCAGATGAAGCTCTGTAACGTAACAAATATGTACACAATACAAAATAACAACTCAATGAACACAAATTGACTTTTTTGTCCTTTTTGACAGTCCCTGGTTTGAGATCTATCTTTGCCATTCAAGTGAGGGACTCATACACAGCTATCATAAAAGGCAGCAACTATTAAACATAGCACAAACACATGCTTCAAGCAAAACATTTTACAAAACTGCAAAAAAAAGCATCGTGTTTACAGATTTTAATTCTGGTTGGTAGCTACTATATTTTATATATAATGCAATGAAATTCCTACACTGTAGCTAAGAATAAAGCGTCTAAAAACTGTTTATAAACATCTGTTATGCAGCTTCTGCAAAGAGTAAGAAAAAATATATAATAGCATTTTTAAAAGTTTGATCTCTTGCATTATTAGCTACTGTAATGCCTAAACATCCTAAGGATTCTGCAAAGGGCACAAGTGCACAACTGAATATACATATTCTGAAGAAAGAAATCATCCTGATATCCCAATCTGAGCTTTAACCCAAAGTCATTACTAGTATGCTTATAGCATCATTAACTGTAGCCATAAGCCACAGTGAAGTGTATTGAGCAGACAGACAGCTCAGGGTGAAGTTAACAAGGCACCATGGACCTGCACACCTTGTGAAAAACACTGCAGCATCTACCTACAGAAATCTACAGCTGAGAGCCTGCGGATGCTTCATCAAAAATTGATGGGCTACACATCAGCATAGGGAGCACGTAGTGCAAAAACAACACAAGGCAGGGAGCAGCAGCCTTGAGTCTCCTGAAAGCAGGGCTGTCTCTCTCTATCCTTGCCCTCCCCCGCTCCCTGCTCTGGCGTTGGGGTCTTTCTGATCAGGTGGAAGGGGAAAGATGAGCGTTGACACCTTGCTGGGTTCACACTGAGTGCCAACCTCCTAAATACAGAAACGTCCAGGCTTGGCTACCTCGGTCTTTCTCTCTCTCGCCCCCTCTTTCCCTCTCCTTCCTCACAGCAGAATCTTAATTGCAGTGTTTAATATTCTTAAACGGGGGATCTGACAAGCATTATGTTTGTGTGTGTCGCCTGATTTTTATGTATTTTCCACCTCTTCCTCACCAAAGGATGGAGGGAGTGTAAAAAAGCATGTGGAATGTAAATGCTGTTGCCTGAGGTTATAAACGGAGGTTCTGGCGAGAGCTTTTGACCTAGCTGAATGCACTACAGAACTGAGATATGACAGAGAGATAAAGATTAGATAGATAGATAGATAGATGACGGACAATGTCATAAAACCATAGAAAGAATGACAGAAAGAACAGATAGATAGAATGATAGAACAGAATGAACAAACAAATGACAGACAGATATATATATAGATCGACAGACAGACAGTGACAGTCATTGTTGTAATAAATTGAATTTTAATTGGAATTTGTCAGACAGACAGATAAAATGAGATAGAAAAACAAACAGATAGAAAGAACAATAGATAGAACGGCAGACAGACAGAGAGAGAGAGAAGAATGAGATTAAATGATAGAAAGACAGACAGAATGATATATAGAACGATAGACAGATAAAATGACTGACAGACAATGACAAAATGATAGAAAGAATGATAGAACAAACGAATGAACTAACAAATGATAGATAGAACAACAGACAGACAGACAGATATATAAAATGTAGGGATGCACCGATATGAAAATTTTGGCCAATACCGATAACCGATTATTCTTTATTTTTGAAAGCCGATAACCGATATGTTGGCCGATAAATCTATGTCCAAATTGTTATATATTTTTTGAGAGCCTGATTACAAAAAAGGTCTCATCATTAAAAGCCACATCCCAAACACTAAGCAGCCTAGTTTGAACGGTGTACGTTTTAAAAATAATTTTACTCTCCCATTACCAAATTTAGTCATAAAAAAGTCTTACAAATAAATAAAATAATGCAAACAAGTCACTGGACATCATTACACGTGTAAAGAATCAAAATGAATGCGCCATAGATCAATAAAACGGAATAGCCTCTGCACGGACAATAATTAAATGATTTTAATTACTAAACCATATTGTTGATGAAAATAATAAGAGAAAAATACAAGTGGTTGTTGTTATTAATAATATATCAATGATTTTGAAAAAGTAAAAAATTAATACCACTGTTTTAAATAGCAGCCATTGAGCTGCAGCTCAAGCTGAAGCTGAAGAGCTGAATGAACAAGGTAAACTGAAGCGTTTTGCTGGCAGCTTATTTAACTCAAGGAAATGCATCCTGAGATTAATATTAATACAAAATAAACATAATATTACAACTTATATATGTACAAAATGACGCAGTTATTGCATGCTATAGTCAGAATGTGTGATCCTGTTGTGGATGCGCTCTTCCCATAACAACGCGCTGAAACACAGCAACTAAACCCAAAGAATTCACAACGTTTTATTATAATAATGTTCTCATTAGAATGTTATATACACGACATTCCCAATCATAGTTATTAATGTTGTGCACTGCTGTTTGAGCTGCGTGCGCTGAGCTAAAGATGATCACCGGTAAACTGAAGCGCTCTTTTAACTTAACCAAACGCATTCTATATGAGATAAATCAGATATACATCAAATAAACACAATATTACAACGTACAATTGCACAAAAGGCTGCAAACGAACAGAGCGCATCTGAAGTGTCTCTGAAGGAAATAATGCATTATTTATCGGCTTTAAGATATCGGCAAAATTTTCTTATCAGGCCGATACGATAACAGAAAAAATGAGCATTTATCGGCCGATACCGATATGGTGGCCGATATATCGTGCATCCCTAATAAAATGACAGACAATGACATAAAATTATAGAAAAAGCAACAAAAATAATTACAGATAGATAGAATGATAGCACAAATAAGTTAATTAAAACATTTTTTAAAAAGAAACTGCTAAAAATGAACAGCATGATGCATGCCATAGATAAGAGTTTTTTGAGCGATAATGAATAAATGCCCTGCACCTCTACAGCTTGTATGCAGACACTGACGCGTAGCAGCTCTTACCTGCAGCATTGACTCTGTGGTAACCTCTTGGGACAGTCTCTCTCCCTGAACCTGAGCCGCCTGCCGAGTCTTTCACAGCTCTGAAAAGAACACACAGTAACATTTAACAGAAAGATTGAGACATCAAGCCATGTGTTTCTGAAGGGACAATAGTTCACAGAGCTTGTGGATAAATAGATAGGATCTGTCATGAATGCTAACATCAGCACATCATGAAAATGCTCATAAATATAAATATATAAATGAAGAATTTATCCATAGCCAGAGGACTGGAATGCTGGAAAAAAGCCTGCAATATTTAAAACTTCCAAAACAAATCAGAGCGATGAGACACTAACAGAATGTTCACTAAATACGTCCCACTTTACACCACCACTCGTGTCTACAAATATCATTATATCACTGTCACAACATTTTCACACTACTGTGGGATGGAGTTGAGGGACTGGCATCTAAGTGCATTGCCTGTAGCAACTATCAGCCAGCCTGTATGCTAGCTGTACTTACTGAATCCTTTTATGCGAGGAGACAGCAATCCAACCCTCCCACCCCCTCAAACCCCTGTGGAGCTCTCCCAGGATGGAGTCCCTGGCCAGTGTTTAAGAAACTGTCACTAAATGTCACCGTAAGAGCTACAGTGATGCAGGCAGGATTGCAGTTGATGTTCTGGTTGGGTGAAGTGTGTTGTCTGTCTGCTCAAGTGTTGACTAAGACACATAGCTGAGAAAGGACAATGTCAGTCTGATGGAGGGATATAAAGATCTATCTATCTATCTATCCATCCATCCGTCTATTTTAGTTTTAGAGATTGCTAAGGTGGATTTCAACTCTATGATATGTAATAACATTTCTTTTAATTAATAGTTTAAAATGATTATACTTTATAATGAAAAAATGTCTCCAATAATCCCCTCAATGCTGGCTTGCAGGCAAAATCCTTTAATCTAGCTGATGCAATATTATAGAGCACAGCAAAACCAGAAAAAAAATCATATTCACTACATTATGATTTCCAGGTCTAGAAAATGCATGGAAATTTAATGTTAAATATTCCATGATATATTTAGGGTTTCCTGACTGTGGGAACCCTTAAAGAATACAAATGAACTCTGCAATAGTGCTTATAACATTAAAAACTTACATTTAAATAAACAAATCTTCTTCAGTCATACTTAAAGCTGTGCAGCTCTTTAAAAGTGTTGCTGCTTGTTTCCCCCCCAAATTGTTCTTTAACAAGTTTTATCTGTGGCTTGTCAGTTATTTTCATTATCTTTTGCTAGCTGCTAGGACAACTAGTTACTTGTAAAATGTCTTGCAGAAAAATCAATGGGAAAGCTCAAAATGGTGGCTGCAAGATAGAATAGAAGTCTTGACTTGACAGTTAAAACATCAGTCACATTTTCAGTCATTGCTATGGTCTAGATTAGAATGTACACAAGTATGAGAGCTGGACGAACCTGAAAAATAGTTTCTAAAGTTAAAGCTAGATTTATGATAATTCATCAGATTTCACTTATGATTTACTTAAAGATGTTACTAAAACTATTACCTACATAGAAAAAAGACGCCCAGGAATGTTGCAACAATTGGACGGACTTGCCCAAAGTGCACTGTGCAGAAAAGGAAATGTAGCAGCAATATGAGGGTAAGTGCTTAATAATCCTTAATACATTCTTGCAAAGGTTTGATTGAAGAAGATCAAAAAATTAAAGGGGTCATATGATGCGATTTCAATTTTTCCCTTCTCTTTGGAGTGTTACAAGCTCTTGGTGCATAAAGAAGATCTGTAAAGTTGCAAAGACTAAAGTCTCAAATCCAAAGAGATATTCTTTATAAAAGTTAAGAGTCAACCACACCTACCTAAAACGGCTGGTTCGAACACGCCCCCACATATCTACGCCATGATGTGGGAAGATTTGCATAACGCTGCCCAAATGTTCACACAAAGAAAGGCGGCGTAACTTTTATTCTCACTGTAGTATTGTTGTTGCCGCCGCCGCCGCCATGTCGTGAAGGTGCTGTGTGTTTCGTTGTGAAAGCGAAACTACTTTGTTTGGCCTTCCACAAGAGGACGATATCCGCTTCGGCATGCCTGGAGCTGATCCGTGCTGGTTGCTGAGGAAATACATCAACTTCATGCTGTCGATCGCCGGATCGGCTTTCACTGTGGACGAAGCGGAGTCCAGCCCGGGGTTGTCACATGTGGGGACGCAAAGACAAGAGTCGCGATACGGCTGGATTCAACTTCAAAAGGATATGATGTCATTGAATAAATATGAGCACTGCATGTTTCAAGTAAAAACGTGGCACGGATGGGTTTATTTGAATGTATTTGAAGGGAACCGACTGTCCCAAAAGTCCCTTTAAAGAAACACTCCGCTATTTTTGAAAATAGGCTAATTTTCCAACTCCCCTAGAGTCAAACAGTTGAGTTTTACCATTTTCGAATCCATTCAGCCGATCTCCGGGTCTGGCGGTAGCACTTTTAGCTGTAGCTTAGCATAGATCATTGAATCTGATTAGACCATTAGCATCTCGCTCAAAAATGACCAAAGAGTTTCTATATTTTTCTTATTTAAAACTTGACTCTTCTGTAGTTACATCGTGTACGAAGACCGACGGAAAATGAAAAGTTGCGATTTTGTAGGCCGATATGACTAGGAACTATACTCTCATTCCGGTGTAATAATCAAGGAACTTTGCTGCCGTACCATGGGTGCAGCAGGCGCAATGATATTACGCAGCGCCTGAAAATAGTCCCAGCTAGGTAACTTCCAATAAGCCTATTTTCAGCGGTGTAATATCATTGCGCCTGCTGCACCCATGGTACGGCAGTAAAGTTCCTTGATTATTACACCGGAATGGGAGTAAATGAGAGCTAACGGTCTAATCAGATTCAATGATCTATGCTAAGCTAAGCTAAAAGTGCTACCGCCAGACCCGGACATCGGCTGCACGGATTCGAAAATGGTAAAACTCAACTGTTTAACTCTAGGGGAGTTGGAAAATTAGCCTATTTTCAAAAGGGTATTCTATAGTGCCTGTCCTCAGAAACGTGTCCTTGGCATTTTAATTTTATGAGCTGCTTTGTCTACAGCCGTTACCGGGGAAACCGCAATATTTCAGAGCTCCTAAAGCGCCACCTCGTGGCAGAGAATGAATTTGCATTTCCAATAAGCCTTTCTTGCTGTTAAGATCAATGCAAATATCAACTCATGTTTTTACACAGCAAATACAGCGTTGTAAACGAGAAATAAGTTAGTGCCTTCTAAAAATCTAAACAATTAAGACCGTAATATTTATACGTTTTAAATTGACAATTTATATGCTTGATTTATCCCTTTTCATAAAAATGGTCTAAAGTCTGAAATGCTGTTGTATAAGATTTTTGTTTTTGTGAAAACCTGTATCTGAACTGTAAATCATGTCATTTTATGGCTCAGTATTGTATGTTACCATAGACATTGTCCAACCCCACTCATACTATGTTCATTTTACTTGTGCAGCTCTTAAAATGGGTCATAAATTACCTTAAATTTATTGTTACAAATTCTGCAGATACCCTGTAAATAATGAAATAAAATTCCTTCCTTCATATTTGTTGATATTTGTGTATTGAAAATATTTTTGATTGACATTTAAACTCCTATCTGATTTTCTATATTTTTAAAAAAAGGTCTTTTTTTTTTATTTGGGCTAGTTAAATTAATTTTTGGGCTACCAAAATCTGAAGAGTACCTGCCCGAAGGGCTACGAGGGATTTTGAAATTTTGCAAGCCCTGAAGTCAGGCTGTGAGAAGCCTTAAAGGACAGTGCTGTCAGAGGAATAAAGACTCCTGCTTCCACAGGAAGAGTGTCTTGTTCCCTAGTAATTCGATTGTTCAGAACCAAGGCACAATCTAACACACCAGAACAGTACAAACACCCACATTCTCACAGAGACATGGTAATTTAGTTTCCTATTAGTGCGGAGTAAACATCACTTTGTGCAGTGCTCAAGTCTGTGAATGTGTGTGTATCTGAGTGAGGACACAATTTTCTTCCTGTGACCACTGCTGCCCTAAAATATTCACTGACAATACACTATCAAACGTCACATCATGGCAACAAGATACTGACAATCATGGCTTAATCAATGTGGAGCAGAAATCTGAAAGAAAGCATCAGAAAGAAAGGGTTGAATGTTATAAACATATCAGTAGCCTAATGTTTTCCACCATATGCAAGTGTCCTCCAGCGAAAGTGTGTTTATGAATTTATAGCTGTATTATTCCAAGCTCTCATGCCAAAAAAAGTACACACCTAACTAACAAGTTTTGTAAAATCATAAAAAAGTAGCTTAAAAATTTAATAATTAAATAATAAAAATTTAAAAAATTTAAATTCAGAAATATAAACATAACTTGTTTGTTTTTTGGGAAAAATTTAAAATGGCTACACTGTAGAAAAAAAGTTCTTATTGTTGATGTATGTATTAATGTCATTCATAGTATTCAATTAGCTTTCATTTTTATATTTTCAGTTTTCATTTGTAATTTGGTTATGTGTTCACTGCAGAGGATCCATTGGTGAGCAAGTGATGCTAAATTTCTCTAAATTTGTCCGATGAACAAACAAACTCATCTACATTTGGATGGCCAGAGGGTGTGTAAATTTTCAACACATTTGAATTTTTGGGTGAACTATTCCTTTAAGTGCATAAATTTTCCCACTGCACTACAAGATACCTTGGCACAGTATGGCCATGTGTTCAGCCAGGTCTTTAAAGCCTTTTTCCACCAGACTGCTGTTGAGTGGACTGTGTTCCTGAGCCCAGAACTCCACCACTACACACAGAGTCTCCTGCAGAGTGACTGACATTCCCAGCCTCCACTCCTGCACACAAACACAGTAAACTCAGCCTGCACAGCCTGATGAAGCATCTGGAATGGACATGTCTCAACAAAATGGTATATTTAATGTGTAAATCTGTTGGCATACAGGTGTCATGTGACAAATTTTAGTTTAAGATGGGAAATTATCTTTGCATGAGCTTAGATCACAACACAATAATATTGCAACATTAAACCAACAAACTTATGTCTAAAACAGAAGATTTTAATAAAGCATGCCCTCATTTTTAGCACGAAGGGAGAAGACTTGAATGACACCTGAGCGGAGTTGAAAGCCCAGATTACAGTCTTGATCAGTAACTTGCTGAGTTGCTGAACCGCCCTGGAGGTCAGAGTCGACTTCTCCCACATGTTCCAGAAGGTACTGTACAGAACAGATGCCCGACTTTGTCCAGGTGACCTCCTGCACAGAGACAAAGACAGAGTTGCAATAGATATTAATATTAATATGTAGATACAGCTGCTACAGATACAATGACAGATCTGCCCTGTTGAAACGGGCAACATTTAAGGTTCAGGGTTTATATAATATAGTTTATGCAGTTTTAAAACGGTTATCCATTAAAAAAATAATAATAAAATGTAATCCTGTCTAATATGGAGGATACGTAGACATGTGGTGGCAATAAAGAATAGTTGCTAATGTACAATCAAGGCATTAATATCTATGGTTAACGCAGTTACTTAACCATTGTCTTTCTATCAAAAGATAGAAAGATGTAAAATATGTTTTCTATTCAAAACAAGGTGAACAGTAAGACATCAATATATCTGCAAGCAGCTGCACGTTGTGTTTTATTTCTACATTCTTTATATTTTGTCTGTGTTTATTTTGTGGAGGGGTGGGAAAATACAGCAGTTTCTTTTCTTTGGGCTCATGCAGAATCAAAAAGTTGTTGTTTATTGAGGCAGAGATGAACAGAGCTCAGGTGCTCACCCTGAGCTAGCAGCATGAAGCTCCAGCTGAAAAAGTCTCAGGAAGAACTCCTGCAGGTTACAATGGAGACGAAACAACTCGGTGGATGGTGTGCTTGGCAGTGAGTGACAGGTGGGTTTGCTTGCTAGACACACTCTTGAATAAATCAGACAAAATTGCATTACTGAGAGAAACTCTATTTGCTTATGAGCTGTTCTGACAGGTACATTGACAGTTTCATACCGAACTGATGTCTCAAGAAGTGACCAGAGGCCGCCCTTACATTCAGGACACTGGAGGATCTGAAGAAAGTACTTAGTGTGTCCAGGAGAACCCCAGGTAGGATTGTTGCGCAGGATACTGTGGAGAACTGTGATAAACATGCTGAGGTACAATGGCTTTGCATCACCCTAGAAGTTAGAGCGCAAGAGCAAAGACTGGATTATCTGGTCAAACCAGAACAAGCTTTTGTAATAAAATACGTCCATCTATTCTAAAGATTTCAGATATCTAGAGAGGAAGGTGGCTGAGGGCCTGTATAATTCTGATATATCCACAATTATAATTGAATAACAGCAAATAATACAAATTCTAAAAATTTAGGAATGATTATAATAATTATGATTTATTTATTTATTTTTTAGACACATGCACAATTCACAACTTAGTGTTCAAATGTTTGGGGACTGTAAAATTGTTTACATTTTTTTTTTAATCAAAAAATGTATATGTTTAATAATGAATATATTTTAAAATACAATGAATTCCTGTGATGGCAAAGTTGAATTTTCAGCAGCCATTATTCCAGTCTTTGTCACATGATTTTTCCAAAATCCTTCTAATATGCTGATTTGGAGCTCAAACAACAAATCTTCTTTTTATCAATGTTGAAAAAGAAAAAAAAACCCGGTAGAGCTGCTTAATATTTGTGCAAAAACAATGATATATTTTCAGGATTTTTGATTAATAGAAAGTTTAAAAGAACAGCATTTATTTAAAAAAAAAATCGTCTGTAAAATTATAAATGTATTTACTATCACTTTTTATCAATTTAATGTGTCCTTGCCAAATATAATATTAACCTATTAAAAAAAATATTACCGATCACATGTTATTTACATATATGCAATTGCTTGTCATTTTCATTCCGCTTGCCCTTATGCCGAGTGCACAATTTTAGCCCGATTTTTCCCTCGCCGACAGGTTTTGCGAAATTGCCGACAAATGCCCGAAATTGGAGGCAAATCGGTGCGTGTTCACGTGAGTGAAGATCACGCAGTGGGAATTATCAAAGACGCGATCTGAGGGAATCGCCGATGCGTCGCCGACGCCCGTGAAATATTTGGCATGCTAAATATCTGGAGCTGTCGGCGATTCACAATCACACTGTGTGAAATGAGTTCTGACTGAAAAACACATCGGCGATGACCTACAGCCAATGAGAGAACACGATACAGGGCAGCGGGAAGTTCGGGGAGGAGTTATATGAAACGTAGTTTGCGGACCAGTGTTGCCAAATCCGCGATTGCCGCCGGTTGTTTTTTTATGTCAGCAGGTTGAAGCGACCCCAATAACGTGATATTTAGGCCCTGGAATGTGAATTGTACCAGGAGAACCCAGCCAAAAAAAAAATTATTTTACCCCCCAAAGCGATTTTTACTGGGGGACCCCCTCGAAAGCGATTGGGCTATTTTCAGGCTAGTTTTGAGTAGTAATTGGGCGGGTTTTGTAGCGAAAACCTGGCAACCCTGCACCAGACAGAGCTGTCGGCGATTCTTCCTATTGTGAAGTCATGCAGTGTGAAACCCCCTGTCGCCAATCCATCATGCAATGTGAACACAGCAGCAACTGAATGCTACCCCAGATAGTCACGCAGTGTGAAAACAACGGCGATCCGACGAGTTTGAAAATCGTGCAGTGTGAACTCGGCATTAGGCTATATGTTCTTTGTACTCAAGAGAACAACAATGGCAATTGTTAAACACAGTATTGATATTTTACATCAAGCAAAAACAGAAACAACAACTTTTTACATCTTGTTGCCATGAAATTTTGCACTTTTTGTGAACAGGCCTTCAATAGCTGGTAAAGAACTATGCTGTTTTTATAACAGAAATCACTCCTTACAACATCCTTAATGAAAAAGAAACTACCTCGCTTTGCTTTTTAAGAAAGATAATACCAACTGAATGTAACAGTGCTTTATAAGTGCCTCTGGGATTTAGAATAGCTCTTATTATACATACATGCAGTGCGTGGCGCATTAGCTGTTGGAGCAGCAGGGCTGGGGGCATCACTCCAGGCTGCAGGGACCCCAGAATCTCCTCCAGAGCTTGAGGGAAGAAGGCACACTCCACCAAGCTCTGCACATTGCTGAAATCTACCGCTGGAATCTGAGTGCAAGAGAAACAGGGAAAGAAAGACATACATGAAATAAGATGACTGATGATAATGTGGTCTCAGGGTCAGTGTTAAATGAGTGCATTTGGACATTTCTGCTTGAGAACCCAGTGGAGGCACATTGCAATGTTTCTTTAATGGGTATGCCAATCATGAGTGTACCGATCAAACGGATTTGCCTAAATCAGGTGACCTGGCTGTGATGAGCCCTCCATTTATTACTCCTCTACGTGACACACAGGAAATTGAATGACCCGATCCTCTTGATGAGTCAAACATTAATTTTTGCACTTTAACAGCTGGTGTATGGCAGATAGGTGTGCTGAAAAGTTTTTCCCAGGTTTCAATACCTGAACTAGCAGGTTAGGTGTGTAGTAGCTGTGGAACTCTGGGACTGTCAAAAGTATTTTCTTCCGTTGCTGAAACGAGATGTCATGTAAGGTCATACTTTACAGAAATTACATTGATAACCGTGACAACTATCTCATTTGTGCCCAAAATCCATCTGTGAAAGCCATAATTATGTTTCAAAATGATATATAAAAGTACCAGAATAAAAAGTGGATGGGGAGAATAAAAATATATTAGACCTCCATTATTATGATGTATTCTTTGAGCATTTGCTCCAATTCTTTATGTGAAAGGTCATCAGTAACATCCATGAACTTGTCAGTGACTGCAGCAGCCTCAAAATCCATTTCACAGCTCTCTTCTCCATCGAAGGACTCCAAATTACAGGGCCAGTTTAACACGGAGCAAGCACGCTGCAAAAGAAAGACAACAAATAAACCACCAATACCAAATTTTGAGGGTGAATGTAAAACGTAAAAGCTGTCCAAATCAAATAAGCAATTTTTTGTTTGCAAATGCACTATCAAAAGTTTGGGACTGGTAAGATTTTATTTAATTTTTGAAAGAAACTTCTCTGCTCTCCAAGGCTGCATTTATTTATTAAAATACTGTAACAATACGGCAATATTGTGAAATATTATTACAATTTAAAATGTAATTGTTTTTTCCTGTAATGGAAAAGCTGAATTTTCAGCAGTCATTACTCCAGTCTGCAGTGTCACATGATCCTTCAGAAATCATTCTAATATGCTGATTTTCTGCTCAAGAAACATTAAGAAAAGAAAAAAAAATATTTACTGTCACTTTTGCTCAATTGAATGCATATTTGCTAAATAAAAGTATTAAGAATTTTTTTTTATGAATATTAGATTACATAATATTAGAGTTATAAGAGTAAAAGGAATATTTTAATAAAAAATATCATACTTTTTTTTATGTTGTTCCACCTGTATACTTTTTTATTCAGTGGAACACAAGGAGATATTTTGAGGAATGTTCATGCTGCTCTTTCCAATACAACATACAAGTGACATAGCAGTGACCAGGTGAAAAACAGTACCATACAATTACTTTGTATGTCTTGTTTGCAACATCCCAAGGCACTGTTTAGTACCATGGCCATCAAATCTTTGTGAATTTATGAACAACTTTTATGAGCCCTTTTTTTGCCCTCTTAGGCGCTTGACAGTCACTACATGTTTTGTTATATGAAAAAAAACTACATTCTGTGTTCAATAAAAGAAGTCAAAACAGTACAACAGGTTTGAAATGACATGATGGTGATTTAACAATGACAGTTTACTTTTATGAATTACTTACAAAAAGCATACGATGCAAAACGTAAGTTACTTTACCTCAAAAAGATGTTTGGCTACATAGCTGACACTATAGTGAGGGATTCTGCAATTCTCGCCTTTATCTTTGGATGCATTTTTGGTTAACACGTGAGTTACAGCATATGAAGTCGGCCAGTCTGTGAAGACAACAGCTCTGCCTGCTTTTAATATCCTGCAAATAAAATGTGGTTTGTAAAAATTCCCATTAGCAATTTCACCATGAGCCTCCAGTTAAACATCAACAACATTTCTAAATGTACAGTATGCTGAACAAAGCTGTCACTGTGTACATCCTGACCTGACAAACACACTTCTGCTCACTGGATCATCAATGTCAATGAGCACCACCCAGTCCTACAGGTAGAGATGGGAAATGACAAACATGCTTCATTTCTTTTAGCAGTTTTCTATGCGAGTTAACAATAGTGATGTTCACCTGAAAAGCTCCAGACACAGTGCCGTTAGACACCCTTTCTCTCCATGTTTTCAGTGGATTGGGTGTCTCAGGGGTCTGAGCTGTTAAGTTTAACTCGTATGAAGCATCTGGGAGCCAGGCTTTTTGATTCACACTGTCCAGAATAAACTCTGGAGTGACTATCCACTTCCCTGAAACAGAAGGAAACTAAACCGAGTCACCAATTCAGTTTGTTATTTTATTATACGCTTACAGGCTATTATATGCCTTCTAATTATTTAAGTCAAATCTCAATATTACAGACCTCCAGCACAGGCTGCGAGAAACTTTTCACTTGCTAAAGCTTTTTGGACGATAAGGTGAGTTGTTGCCTCCTTATAAACCTGAAACATAGAAACATGTGTCAAACATTGTGAACTTGAATTGAAGTGAAAAAAAGAAGAAAAAAAAACTCTTATCTGACATATAAAGTCACCTTACTAATCTGGTCTTCATCCTTACCATGAGATCGTTTAGGAAAAGGTCAAGAACTTAGAGGTTGAGTTTATTCTCATGAGGGTTTCAATTAGTAGAGAGAGCGCAATCTGTGACTATATTAAGATGGTATTGAGGGCAAGGACAAAATTACACGGTCCGAAATACACTGTAGCATCGGGAAGCAATTAGAGCTATTTTTCAGGGCTAATCACCAACACTTTATCATTTTCTGCACACAGAGTAAGAAACGCTTGATGTCATGGAAGAGAAAGTGGGCTTGTGTGAAATTAACAAAGGCTGTATTATACAGCAATGCACTTTTGAGTGGTTAACTAATATTGAAGTACATCTTTAAATATATCAAGCTACGTCAATCCTGCAGATGCTAGATGGCTGTATTATACAGCAATGCACTTTTGAGTGGTTAACTAATATTAAAGTACATCTTTAAATATATCAAGCTACGTCAATCCTGCAGATGCTAGATCAGGGTTCCTCAAATCTTACCCTGGAGGGCCAATGCGCTGCAGAGTTTAGCTCCAACCCTGATCAAACTCACCTACCTGTGATTTTCAAATAATCCTGAAGACATTGATTAGCTTGCTCAGGTGTGTTTGATTAGGGTTAGAGCTAAACTCTGCAGGAAAGTGGATCTCGTGGGCCAGATTTGAGGATCCCTGTGCTAGATCTTTTCTTGCAATTAACTTTTCGGAGCAATTTTTCAAATTACTTTGAGGTATATTGGTAAATTAACTTGTATATTGTTATTTAAATTTGTAAAACACTACACACTTGTGTGCATTATTATCATTTGTTAAATAAATTATACTTGGCTTGATATTTTGCATCTAATGCAATCATAGTCAAACACTAAGTCTGATTAAACTCTCCAAATAATTCGGAACTACTGTACAACAGCAGAACTCTTCATTCATAAGGTTGTTTGTTACGGTAAAGGGTACTATACTTACAGAGCCTCCAATATATGCGCCCCCCAGCTTTCTGATGCCCTGGAGTAACTGTCTTTTCTGGGAATGATTCTTGATGCCAGACATTTGAAAGATGTATTTATTGTCCACCATCCTAGTAAAAAAAATAGATTGTTTGATAAATAGCATCCATCAGTGCTTAGCATTACAGCTATTGGCTGTTTACAAACAAAAGTAAAGTTGACATTTCTTAAGGGATCCGAAATAGATTGTGATTTTAACAGCTGCTTTACAAAAACAAGATGCGTACATATCTTACCTGAAACTGAAAACAGTGAAATCACTCTGATATGATGAATTGTACGGTCTAATCTCGCTCTTCCGACAACAGCGCGCCAAATATCACCACTGAACATTCGTCTATGGACATTTTATCGAGCGGCACCATCAGTACCGTATAAATAACACACACAAAACATGATTAATATGACGCTAACTCTAAGACTAGATCGATTAGATATTTCGCCCTTTCGATGTTTCGGTTTTACTTGCACTTCAAAACTAGCGTACAGTGTGATGCCTGACCACGGTATGTTATTAGGGGGGGGGGGGGCTAGTATGTTCAAACTCACATAAATATGACTGTCTTCAACTCAAGGCGCGTACAGTTATAAAAATGACTGAACAGTGTTAAAAAATGAAACGGAGATTATTTATGAGTAAGTCCAAACAACGAATGAGAGAATATTACTTCATGAATAAATACACGCGCCCCTCTTTTCTCTGTGATTTACTCTGCTCCGTAACACGGAAATGGTGGAATGCTTCCGGTTGGTTGTCACAGACGCTTTGCGCTTGAGAGCCACAGCAGCGCTTCACCACGCGTGTTTGTAAACAAACGGAGGCGACGGCTGAACAGTTATATATTCGTCTCCGTGAGCGAGCTTGACAGCATGTTATTTAACCACCCGAAAGCCTTTTAACCTTATACGACACTTTTGTCAGCAGTCTTGTGTTGTGGATCGATATAAATGATTCAAACACTATTTCTCACATTCCCATTAAAACACTCGCTGTTTCCTTCCATTAGTGCTGTCTCAGAATGGAGGAAATGACTGTAAGACTGTCCGTTTGCAATATTTACTCGACACTATTAGATTCATGCTTTTAGATTTGATTGCTATAGCAAACACTTCAAAGATCATTTAGGTCATTTCACTGCAATGAATGAAAAGTACAGATTTTGGGAAGAAATGCACCTGACAAGTCTGTTTGGATTTTAACTCTTATAATCCTTCATTGCTGTTGGATTTAATGTGATGAAGAGCCCCTGAAATCACAGAGTGAATAGGTACTGTGTATTTTGCCTTAACCTCTGTTATTTACTGGTGTGTGTGGTGTGATAATGAACTTGTACCATCAGCGGTGATGTAGAACAGTTAAATGCTATGAAAGAGCATTAGAGCTGTATATATAGGCTATGCACTTAAGGAACAGGTGTGCTCTCAAAGAGCTTTTTGCAATGTCAAAGCAATATTAGAGAAGTAGGAACAGATGTAGATCAAGTTTGAATTGTTGTTAACATGAAATGCTTTTGACAAGTGATAAATCTATTTTAACAGCAATTTTGCTAACTCTTTTATTATGAATTCAGATTTGATTAACGGAAACATTACATGGAATGCTTGTAGTTTTTTATAGTCATGGGACTTAGTTTTGTGTGTGTGTATATATATATATATATATACACACTGATGTTACACACGGAGGCTCTGATGATGAGCTGATGTCTGCCCAACGCCAACGTTGCCTTCGTTCGCCAGAGCCTCCACTCCCCTATGCCGAGGACAGTTTCTGCCCTTCGTCTGAAGCGTGGGACCTGGTCTCGTTCGGCTGTGGGGAGGATGATACGATGTCCACGAGCACCTCTGACCTGGGTGGCTGGTCGGAGGTCATTACAGATGAGTCTAGCTCCACCCCTGCCTCTTTGGAATCAGAGCTCATGAGCATTCTCTCGGAGGTTGTGGCAGATATGGGGCTGGACTGGGCAGTACCCGAGTAGCCTACCAAGCGTTGGATGGATGGGTCTTTCCTCAGTGTGAGCCGCCAAACGGATGCCCCACAGAGACCTGCCCCTTTCTTTCCTGAGCTTCACAAGGAGCTCACATGGTCGGCGCTCCCCTAATTCAGCCCGAGGGCATGCACAAGGAACCCAACTGCTGATGACGGTGGAAGGGGCGGAGAAACGGGGCTACACGTGACTGCCTCCTGTAGAGGACACCATCGCGGCACACTTGTGTCCGTCCCGTGGTTGAAAAACCACCCCACTGCCTTCTAAGCCATGTCGAGCCACAGCTCACATCGCAGAGAAGGCGTACATCTCAGCTGGACATGCAGCATCTGCCCTTCACACGATGGCAGTCCTGCAGATCTTTCAGACTCGACTCTTGAAGTTCCTGGACAAAGAGGGCCCAGACCCAGAGTCGTTTCACAAGCTGTGCACAGCGGCAGACCTCGCCCTGTGCACTGCTAAGATGGTTACCCAAGGAATTGACTATTGTATGGGAAACCTTGTTGCCAGCCGTGGTTCCCGGAGTTGGTAAACCTATCGTCAGCCCCCCCGTGGCAGATCCCCCTGAGGAGGGCTCTTCTGTCCCAAGCAAGAGGCACCATCTGGCACCCCAAGCCAGAACTGTGGGTCCTTCATGTATGGCAAGTGAGTGCAGAATGAACCAGCTGACTGTTTCACAATGAGTGTTACACCAGATAACAGAGGCTAGACGCCCTTCGACTAGGTGCCTTATTTTGGATCAAATAAATGCAGGCTTGGTGAGCAGAAGAGAATTCTTTAAAAAACATTACAAATCTTACTGTTCAAAAACTTTTGACTGGTATGTTAGCCTATAGTTTGAAGTAAAAAATATGAATATTAATATTAATAAGGAGAGTCTGAGATTTATTTTACAGTGATTTCACATTTCTTGTTTGTATGAAGGCTAAATACCAATAAAAGGTGAACATTTATTTGCGCCATTTTTTTCCTAAAATATTATATAGGTTTATAGGAGTAGGTTTCATAGAGCTGGCAAATTAATTTTTCATAAGTTTGTAGGTACAGACATCTGTTGTGGCCGTTCTTGGCCGTTTTTATGAGGCTTTTTTAATAGTGTTCATATCGATATCGGAATTATATCGTATCGACCGAAATTAAGAAATATATTGTGATATAAATTTTGGCCATATCGTCCAGCCCTAGTTTCCCCCCATACATAATGTCTCGTTCCCTTCTCTCAGGGAACCAAGGTTACATGACAGGAGACGTTTTGCTTTTAAACTTTTGTTTCTAGAATGTATTGTGTAATAATATGTCTCTGAGCTTTTCTGGAATTTTGGTGCTAAGCTAAAAATTGAAATGGACATATCTAATATTTTTTTTCTGAATTTAAATCTATGTATGACTGCAATCAAGTCAAATTCATATTTCAACTACCCACATGACTGACAGTGATTGACTAAATATGAATTATGAATGCACAATCAATGTGAATGAATGAACTCTGCAATGAAATGTGTCCATTTCAACCTGCTTAAACAACCTGCTTGCCAGCTCTTGAAAATTAAGTATAGCGCAACTGCGCTCACAGTTCGCTCCCGAGTTCGATTCCCGTCTCGAGGTCCTTTGCTGATCCTGCTCCCCTCTCTCCGCCCAATACTTTCCTGTCATCTCTCCCCTGTGCTCTCAAAATAAAAAGGTGCAAAAAGTCCATAAACATAATAAAAAAAGACACTGAGGAAAAGAAAACTGGAGATTAAAACCACAGTGGTTACCATGGTAATGTTTATTTAATGAATCAAGACAGTAATTGTGAACATAACTTGCATTACATTTTCTATATATGCAGGTGATTATTTATTTATTTATTTATTTTATCGCATGTAGTACTGCAGCTCTCAGTCATGTTGTAGCTCCTGACATATTTTGACAAAATCAGTTGAAACTGAAATGCAGTGGAAACTTTTGAATACTTTAAACAGTAGTTCACATGTTAGCCAAAATTGTGAAATATAGTGAGAATATTTTCATAATCAATCGAGGACAAGTTCAGGAGAAGTCATCCGGCAAAAAAACAACATGCACACATTCGGTAAACACAGCCATTGCACAGACTGGATTTATTCCCCTGGAACTTTTTCTCTCTTTTTTTCCTTATATTCTTTCTTTTTTTCACATTCACCTGTAATGCATGAATATTGCACACTTTTGCTTTTCTCAACCAACTAACAAACACAACCTTTCTCACCATTTTGGAGTAAAACAATGCACTTCTTTCATACATTAAATATCGCAAAAGCTTTATTTAAGAGTTTTGGGAGCTAGAACATGATAAGAAAACCTTGACAGTTTTAAAGCAGATGTGCTAAATATTTCACACCACTACCTCCATTCTGAGCGTGGAGCAGTTTGTTAGGGTAGACATGCGGAGAAATACTAGTGTGTCTTTTAGTGTCGAGAGAATACATCTGCCCCAGCTCTTTTTCTCTCTCTCTCTCGCTCTCTCTCTCACACACACAAACACACTTACGCACCAGCTCTCTTCCTTGTGTGGCAGCTTTCAGAACTACTCTGGGACTCCACAACATTTGAGTTCAAAATAGATAACAAGACAAAGGAAATGGAGGGTGCATCTGCCTAATTGGGCCCTATGTGGTGACAGCATGAACCTGACACTTTTCCCACAACTCTCATGTGGATGAGACACGAGTGATGATGCACGTCCCTTTGTAAAATCAGCTACACACACGCGTGCACGCACAGACATTGACGCAGTCTGTCCCAATGTAATTACACTGTTCAGTTCCTAATCCTGTGTCTTAAAAACCTACACAAGTCACTTTCTCTCTCTCTCTTCACTCTTTCCCCTCAGACAGTAGTCAAGGCTTGAATAGAGTTTAGAAAATAATAACACGCAAGCTTAACTGCGGAGTCTGTCAAGTGAGGGAAATAATATTTGTCCAGCTGGACAGCCTTTCCCTTTGTGCGGGTTAAATTAATGTTGAGATTTCTGTCTGCACGAGGAGAAAAGGCTGTCGTGTCGGAGAGGAAGTGCGAGCTGTTTGGTGTTTGACAGGGATTATTAAAATCAGCCTAGATGAAGGGGAGAGGGGCCCCAGCAAAGCCAAATTGACACTGACACTCTCCATTACACTCCGCTTGACTTGCAATGACGACGTTGATACAGTTTCTCTCTCTAGCGCGTGCTGGATCTGTGCAAGACTTGAACATTGAGGGCTTTATAGCAATCTGAGGCCAGATGGATTGTTTATTTAAAGCGAGGGCAAGAAGATGTGTCAGTCTATATCCCACCGGCGTCTGGTAATACCGCAAGACCGCTCTTTCCGATATGCATGTATTACCACTGAGCTGTACTGTAAATTGAATGGCACTCCAGCTTGACACAGAGAGGGGAGGTGGATAGATGAAAAGCAATGGATTGAGGCTAGAAATATTTATGGCAGATGATAACTGGAGCCTTGTTCCAGCTGTGCTTTGATGTGCAGCTGCTGATAAGGATCTTGTTGGGAGGTGAAATCAAATCATTTCATGTAAGGGGCCGTCATATGTGTTCGAGGACACGTTTCATCAAACGTAAAGGCTTCTCTTTTCAAGCGTACATTTGATCCCATTCAGACAAATACAGTGCACAAGCAGACATTGATTATTTCTTTCCATTGCTTTTTCTTTTTACCGGCAATGGCTGTCCAGAAAGTAGGTCATAGTGCCCACAATAGGTGTTAAAT